AAACCAAAATAAATTAAAACCCACGCATTTATTTTCTAAAATACCAATAGTTTTTCAAATATGAATTGTTGGAAAACCAATTTATTTTTGTTTCTCTTGCAAAAAACCAAATCATTTTTTGGATACGCCATAAAACCTTTGGGTTTTCTGTGAAACCGATCGATTTTCTAGATAATCAATGAAAAACCAATTTTCGTAAGAGTGTAAAGAGTAGTGTTCTTTATTAAAGTTTTTAATAAAATTTTTCCATAAAAAAGGTCCTCGATATTTAATTTGATAAGAACTTATTTTTAAATTTATTCTCGGAACAATAAAGTTATCCTCTGAAAACTTTGTTGGATACTTATGAGATATTTCGCTAAAATAAGATTGAAATATAAGTGGAGATATTCTATGTTTCATTTTAAACATGAAAAGTAATGTTTGGTAAATGTTTAGTTTATAAATATTTAAGGCCTTGAGACGATTTAATAGTGGTTCGCAATAAACAGTTCTGTTTGCCCCAAATACAATCCTACAAGCATGCTTTTGTTTACTATAAAGTTTTTTGAGTTTTCCGTAATTCGTACTTCCCCATGCAATGTTGTAGTAAGAAAGATAGCTGTGAATAAATGAAAAATAAATTTTCGTTAGAGCTTTTGCGTTTAAAAATGGTTTTGTTTTATAAAGTACGGAAATATTATAAGAGATTTTACTTTCAATAGATTGGATGTGAAAATTCCATGACAAATTTTCATCAAGAATTACGCCTAAAAAATTAACAGTAGATTCCCTTTTTACATCTGTTTTATTGAATAAAAGATTTGGCAGTTTAAGTGGAATTTTATCAACTTTATTTGGTTTGTGGAACAGGATGAATTTAGTTTTATCTACATTTAGTGAAAGGCGGTTACTTATAAACCATTCATTTACTTTAGATAATTCTTCATTAAAAATTTTAAAGAGAATTTTTATATCTCTGTGAGAATAAAACAGATTGGAATCGTCAGCAAACAATATAAGATATAATTTTTTAGATGCTAAAAATAAGTCGTTTATATATATTAGAAACAAAAATGGTCCTAAGATAGATCCTTGAGGAACCCCGCAATTTATAAGCTTTTTTTTGGTTTCATTTGTTTCATAGGTTATGCATTGTTTTCTGTTAGTCAAGTAGTTTTTAAACCAAAGTAAGTTTAAGTTGTTTACTCCATAAAGTTTTAATTTTTTTATAAGGATTTCATGATTGACAGTGTCAAATGCTTTGGATAAATCAATGAAAACTCCAAAGGTAAAATAATCTTTATCAAAAGCATCCGATATATGGTTTACAAGCTCAATTACCGCGTGATCCGTAGAATGATTTTTTTTAAACCCAAATTGTTTGTTGTACAGAATATTATTTGATACTAGATGATTATAAAGCCTATTGTACATAATGCGTTCTAGCAATTTAGAGAAACAAGGTAATACAGAAATAGGTCTATATTTTGAAACATTTGTTTTTTCACCAAAAAAAATACCAGACGTTAATGAGAGATTAAAAATGTGAAACAATAAGGGTTCAATAATATCAAAGACTGATTTAACTACTTTGACGCTAATTTTATCTATGCCTGCACTTTTGTTATTTTTCAGAGAGCAAAAGGCATTATGCAACTCACTTATATTTAAACTTAGTTCTGTCATAACATTATTTGCTGTTTTGAGGTATGTTTCAAATTTTATGGTACTAGATGGAATTTTAGCCGCCAGATTTGGACCAATCTCAAGAAAAAAACTGTTTAGCTTTTCAGCTATGGTTTCTTTGTCATAAACAACTTTTTCATCAATTAACAGTTTTTGTGGCAAATTGTTTTTAATCGAAATATTTTTGCCAATTATTTCTTTTATTATATTCCAAGTTTTTTTTGTATTTCCATTACTTTTTTCCAATAGCTTTTCATAATAAGATTTTTTTGATAATTTTTTGGTTTTTTCAAACAAATTTTTGTAGTTTTTGTATATTATTTCATTGTGATATGTTTTATGTCGTAAATATTTTTCATATAGTTTTTGCTTTTTCTTTGAAGATTTGATTAAACCTTTTGTCATCCACGAATTTAAAATAGACTTAGAATTTAAATTTTGTTCGATTAAAGGAAATGCCTTATTATATTGTTTACTAAAAAACGTGAGGAATAATTCATAAGAATTATTTGCATTTTGTGTTTCATACACTAAGTTCCAATCAACAGAATTTTTTAATAGATCGCGAAATCGTGCTAAGGAGTTTTCATTAATTTGACGTACCAAAATTTTTGATTTTATGGAATTGCTTTTTAATGTCATGTTTTTAGTGGTTAGAAAGATCGGAAAATGATCACTTATGTCGGTCTTAATTATGCCTGTTCTTATGCAGGATTTGTGAAAATTGTTTGTTATTAAGTTGTCGACTAATGTTGAAGATGTCTTTGTTATTCTTGTTGCCTTATTTATTGTTGGAATAAAATTATATTGCAAAATGGTGTCAATAAAGCATTTAGCATCATTTTTTGATGCATAATTTAAAATGTTTATGTTAAAATCTCCAACTAAGTATACATGTTTCCGATTTTTACTGGTTTGGGTTAGAAAATTTTTAATGTGAGCTTTAAAATTTGTTTTAAAAATGGTTTTTGCATTCTTTTGATTCTTTGGCAATGGTACCTATCATGTTTATTTGTTGTTGGTCTTTTCTGGGAGTTTTAGAGTTCTTGCTGACAACCTGGTTTCACATGGTGGCTGTTAGTGTTGTACCTGCTTGTGTGTTGGTGCCGTGTTGTGAATGATGGCGTTCAATTTTGCAATTGCTAATTCCTAAGTGTTTATGATAGAGCTCATGTTTGCTAGTTCGGTCTTCTGGTTGCCTATCTGACGTTCAGCGGCAATAGCTCTTGCGGGAAGTATGTCTATTTTTTTGTAAGCTTGTCACGGAGGACTGTTACCTAATAGTTTACTGTTGTGTTAGCCATAGCAATGAGTTTACGTTTTGTTTAATTTCTCTAAATACGCAAGAACTTTTTCCTGTTATAGTTTGTATTTTTTTTTTTTTAAGACAAATGTTTTTGAAGATATTTTGATGCTAATATTTTGAGAACAGTATTGAATCTTTGCGATTTGGTATTTTAATGCGGTAAATTTTTATATATTTATGTATAATAACAAGATTTTTCCGTGTGTATATTTTTATGTATACTGATAAATAAATTTTTATTCATGTAAAAAACTTAAAAAAAAAAAAAATTAAGAAGTTTATTTATTTCCCTTAACTCCCCGGGTAATTTTTTACGCAACGAGAAATTTATTTTACGACACAGGCGCGCCGGTGTCGTAAAATGAATTTGCCTTTGCAGGAGAACAAAAGATTTCTTCCCAAGGCCTTCGGTAAAAATCTTTCGTCTTCCTGTGCTTCTTACGTAACTTCTTGGATTCAGGCCGGCATGGATTCTTTTTTCCATCTCGACGATACCAAGTCAAGCCTCACTCTTCTCCGTGGTTTTCCTCTCATTGTGCTGCTGTAATTTCCAATCGTAACTATTACTTTCATGCCTATCAGCAAAACAATTCTCCAAAAATTTGAATAAATATAGTCTTAATTAGAGGATTTAAATTTTATTATAGCCTTAAATTAAAAAAAAAAAACCCGGAAGAAATGTCACCTTTGTTAGAGATTTTAAATATGTAATCAAATATAAAGATATAATTTTCTACCTTAAATAGGAAGATCTTAATTTCAGACTTTTTTTTTTCGCTACACATAAACGGGGTGACAGATAATATGATATACGAGATGACGGTTGCAATAAGCTCCAAGTTCGCGGAAAAAATACTCATGTAACTTCTTTTTTTACATTCATTTTATTTTTTAAAGGAATTATCTTTATACTGTTTACTAAATAGTATTACATAGCATATTTATTTCGTTTATATGCACACATTTTACAATGTATCCTTAAATTCTAATAAAATTTTTATAACTACAATCTGATTGGGGTACGTAAAAGACAAAATGCCTTCCCATCAAGCTCCTTCGTAAAAAAGAGGAAAATAAAATATCCCAAGTTCTAATATTATACAATAAAAGTGAAATTAAAAAGTTTGAAAAAGAATAAAATAAAAAGTTAGCAATAAAGAAAGCATTAAAATTTTTTTACAAATTGTTACATATACGTATATATGTATACGTATTCAATAAAGTACGTAATATATATTTTTATATATTTAAATATTTAGAGTTTAAGAAGGTTCATAATATTTTGAAGATTTAAATACATCTATTAATATTTTTTATTCAAAATTAAAACAGACATACTTCGTAAAGTAAAAGTTTTTCTTTTTTTAAAAAAAGTGAAAGAGTGCATGTATTGTTTAAATTTAGTAACTCCTCTTTGCAATCTTTCTGACAAATTATTACTTTTCACATTTCCCACTCCCGTTATTTCTTAAACTACATTCCATGTTTTTCTCGTTTTTCCTATTGTTTTATTAATGAAGAATAGTTATGTTTTATGGATTGCTTTTATAACTTTTCAAAAGAATTTTTATATTTTTTGTATTTTATTGCATTTTTGTAGTTCTTTATTATTATTACAGTTTTTGTTTCTTTTTCAACGACAATAAGTCCTTTCGTCATCCATGGACTTGATGATATATGTAATTGGACATGAGTATATTTTATATTTATTATCGCGCTAAAATTTTGCAGACAATGGAGGATATTTTAAAACAATTAATTAATTGAATTGTATTATATTTTTACAGATATTTTACATCATCTACTTGTATTTTTCGTTTAAATATATCTAAGACGTTAAAAAAAAAAAAAAAAAAAAAAAAATTAACGCTCGACTGGCGTTATAATTACTACCTTGTAACTTAATCTCTTATTAAATTTATTTCGTATCGTATAAAACTGCGCAGTCGCTTTCAATATCGAGATAAATATTTTAAGCTATCTTTTATAAAAAGGTTTTTTATATTTAGGAAAATAATACGCCTAATTCAAAAACTATTATAGATATTTAACGAAAAATATATACAATATTCTGTATTAAATAGTTCTCGCAAAAAATTACAAGCATTTTATGAAAGATATTTTCAATAGCTGATACGATCAGATAGCTTTCTTTGAGTCTTCATAACCATAGCGACGGGGACTTTATATTTGAATAAGACTTTTGGAACAAGTATTTTATTTAAAATAGGTCATCGTCATCAATTTCTAAGTCATCTAATTCATCCGCCTCCATAGATTGAAAGTCGACTTTATAACGAAGTAAACCTGAACAGGACAAAAAAATTTATTAAAGTTTTTAATATGCTAAAAAGGGTAGGAGGTACGAACACAAAACCTTTTAATTACCTCCTATACCACCAAAACCTCTACAAAATTGAGAACCTTCTTGTGATCGGTCTGTTACAATTTCAAGATGAGCACCTTAAGCAAAACATTAAAAAGATTTTAAATACTTCATCAATTCTCTGTTAAAAAATATATCAATAAAAACATACCGAACGATTTGTATTTGTTAGCTAACCATTCTATTAGTGACATTTTGTCAACAACCTCTAACTCTAAACCTGTCTAAAAAAATATCAAAGCTTGATAACAATTTAAAATATTACTGAAAACAATACCTTATATCAAATAAAAAAACTTGAGTAACACTTTAAAACCAATATTTTTCTGGTGAGAAATATTTTGAAAAAAAAAAAACGTTTTTAACAGTTATTTTTTCATAAATAACGACGGGAAAACTTAATAAAAATACCTAAAATGAAAAACTTTGTGTCAATATCTTTCTTTATATTAGTTTTATAAGCAATTAGAAAAATTATTTCTTATTGATTAGTATTACTAATAATAAATAATTAGAACTTTCTAACTATTAGTATTATTATACTAAGTAATAAAATGTAATTTAATAAATGTAAATAAAATGTGAGTTTCTTTAGTGAAAAAAGATTTATTTAAATTATTTAAATGCTTATTATTTAAATTTTTTGCAAATGATCTTAAATTTTTTTTCAAGTTGTTGACGCTTGTTTTGATTTTGCTTCATACTTCAAAATCTCAATGTCCACTAAAAAACATGACTGATTAGTTTCATTTGACTTCAAAATCTCAATGTCCACTAAAAAACATGACTGATTAGTTTCATTTGACTTATATTTTTCATTGAACCCGTTGGGCACTAATCTCAACTTTTCTCATACAAGACTATCAAAACTAATAATTTTGGCTCGTATTTGCTTTTTCTTTTGAGTTGTATCTAATTAGGCTTTGCCTCTGGATTAGAAGTGTATTACCCTACGCAACCAGAAAAACCAGTGTTGCTTAAAGGAAAATACGACTTGTCATTTGGAATCACAATTTTTTTTTCCAAAAAAGTGCAACCAATTTTCGGCACTTAAAGCGCACCAATGCTTTCAATGTTCTTTTTGGCGCTTGATTTTTTTTTGATAACGAATGCTAGTCTTTTCGTTGGTAATTTAAGAAATATACTGCTGTGAAATATTAAACCTCTAGGCTAAACTATACTGTAAAACACTATCCTTCTTATTGATTAACTTTTCTAGGTGTTTTATATGTTTCTTAAGCACTAATTTGGCAGTCCGAACAATCTTTCTTTTTGGTCCTAAATTGTTCTCCTTTCTTAACCAGAATGCAATCTTCTTAGCCCAACTTCATTAATAATTCGCTTTGATTGACTCTGGCCTAGCATGTTATGGTTTTAATTTAAATTTTGTTGGAAAAAAAAAATATATAAGAATGATCACTAATCTAAATTTTTTTAGCGCTTTGATTGTTTACCTTTGTGGGTTTATTGTACTTGATAGGGTGCTAGTGAAATTTTGACCCAGACAGCAAATAGAATTGCGGCAAGCCTAGCTATAACAACAAGATGCCAAAAAGAACAACCATGTGAATACCATGAGCCGTTAACAGAGGCCTTAGTACAATGAACATTATTGTTTTTACTAAATCAACTCTTAATGGGGTCACTAGAGCTAAAAAGGCTACTTATGTCCCCCCTGATTTGACCCTTGATCATCAAATTGATCCTTGATTTTTAAATTGATGATTTGATTTGTTTATATATATATATATATATATATATATATATATATATATATATATATATATATATATATATATATATATATATATATATATATATATATATATATATATATATATATATGTTTCTCTGCACAGTAGTTTTATTCTTTAAGTTTAGTGTTTTGTTGTTATAGGGTCAAGGTTGAATGAAGGATTCTGACTTTGTATTAATCACCAGCATTAAGGCGTGCATGTAAACAGGATCGAGTAAAACCATCTTGTGATTTTCACCACATACAGCCATTGAAACACCAACCATGAGTTTGACACAATGCTTCAAATCTTAATGAATAAGGCTGCTGCAAATGAAAACAATGACCAACAAACAACAAATCTTAATGAATAAGGCTGCTGCAAATTTCGTAGTGGAAGATATTAATTTGCAATTTACTAAAACTTTGCAATTTAATCAAAATCAACTAATTAATAAACCCCTATGTATATAGCTGCAGATATACCTAGTGGTACCAATTGAAGTGCGAAATTTTAATTCAGTAAAAAAATTTAAGAGAACATGTTTTTAATGCAAGAACAAATGTAATATATACATATTATATGCATGTTATGTTTTAGTTAAAATGCTAAAGTACACATCAATAAAGAGAGTCCTCGAAATAACTCTCTTTTGCCCGTATGCATGCCTCCAGTCTTGGACGCCATTCCTCGATTGATTTACGCACGGTATCCGTGGATAAAGCATCCCATTCTCTGAGAAGTGATCGCTTGAGGGCATAACGTTTTTTGACAGAACCACTATCATTATATCGCTTAATAGTACGATAGACAAAAATCCTTTGATATTTCTTTATGCTGCAGCATTTTAAAAATCTGATACAGTTTTCTCTTCCCGTCTAATAATGCTATAACTGCACACCCCTTTCCTTCCATACTATCCATTATGAAAAAATCTACAAATAAACACACAAATAAATTAATAAATTCTAGGAATCTATTCAAACAATACAAATAAATGCGGGAACTATATAAAAAGCACATGCCTGTTAACATGACAAGTTTAAACAAACTTCGGACTTCAATTGGTACTACAGGGTATTACCAATAGTGACTCCTTATTGTGATATTGGTAGAGATATCAATAACATTGTTGTGAAGCATTGGCATATTATTAGAGATGACCCCTATATGGCAGAAATATTTCAATTGATACCACACCTACCTATTTCAATATAGAATCGATTAAAGATATTTTAATACATTCGGCCCATGAATAATGTATACATACGAAGTTTAGACAATTTTTTTATAAATTTTAGTTATTTGATGTTTGAATATATTACTATTCTGTTTATTTTTAATATGTCATTATCTTTGCGTTAGTCATACAGCCATATCTATTTTACTGTTTTTTTTATATATTTAAGTTTAGACCATATTTTAGGCTCTGACTGTTGAACTATTAATTTCCCTGGAGCATGTTTTTAGCCAATAGTTTTGCTAGTATTTTTTATTTGTTTTGAAGTCGCCAAGTCACTTTGTTGTTGTTAGCGCTGCTATGTCTTCAATTAAGATCTTACTTTTCTTGATAGGAGTTTTGTTTTCAGTTTTATGTCTATCAGCAACGATAATAAGCTACCCACTTCTTAAAAAAAACTTTTTATTTACTTATCGAATATGGTAAGAAACTAATCTATCTTTTACTTTTTATATCCTTATGTGTGTTTACACTAACAATAATTAATTTACACTAAATATAACTGTTTATTATTGTTAGAATTATGATATATACTTTTTGTGCATGTTTGTCTCTATATCCCCATATTTTCTAAAAATAATTGGTGTTGCTTAAATTTGGTAGGGGTATGGGTGATTGGGTTTTCTGTAGTGAGGTCCGTTTTATTGCAATAATGACTTATATGATGTAGGCTACAGGCAATCATAGAGATAGCAAAGATTCATCCCTGACAAGCGATGCTAGCGATTTTTATTAGGCTCTCCGAAACATCATTGGTGAATATATTGTGGCCCTGAGGATGGAGTTTCACCTACTTTAGTCCACTACTTAATTTCAATTGGATCTTACAACACCACTATTTTTATTATCTTTTTTATGTGTATGTATGTATGTATGTATGTATGTATGTATGTATGTATGTATGTATGTATGTATATGTGTGTGTGTGTGTGTGCGCGTGTGTATGTGTGTATATATGTATATGTGTGTATATATACATACTTCAGCACTTTGTTTTTACTTTATTTGTACACTATTTTATTTATTGTCATTTAATTTTATTTTTGATTTTATTATTTTATTAAAGTTTATTATCTTGCATCTATATGAACACCTATAGCTTGATCAGTTAAAGCGTCGACCTGGTAATCATTGAGTTCCAGGTTCAATTCAGGATCTGAGCATATTATGTAAAACTTAATATTTTAACTTCATTTTTTATACCTTGTGCGTTGGTTATGATTTTCCATTAAGAATCTGAGTTTATAATTTCTATTACATGCAAGATGTCTAAACTATCATTATTTTTTTAATATACACTTTACTTCAGTATCTTTATTTTGCTCTGAACATCTGTTCATAATATCTTTTTAATTTAATTTTTTTATCCTTTCTCTGTTCCAAACTTTTTTATTATTCCACTTGGGCTTGACAGCTCGGTGTAGTCCTTTGATGCATATTTTTGCATTTTTTTTACATTATTTACATAAAAAAAAGAAAAGATTCAGAATATATAAGGTGATCTTCTTTTTTATATATTTATTATATTTAAGATTGTATAATAAAATTCTTAATTTTATTTGGTTCTCTTTTGTTTAACTTCGTAAAAACTGGTTCTCGCGCTCTATAAAAAAAACTCTTTTATTTAGCTTCCTATAAAATTTATAGGAAAATCATACAACTGATGATAAACGCTTATTTTAAAAAACAAATAAAACAACAAATAATATTTACTCAAAAAAAAATTAAAAAAATTGATAAAAAAAAAAAAAAAAATACTACAATGACGCTATATACTAAAACTTTTTGGAATTAATCGTACTTGAGTAAATTATAAAGTCTGTTGATTGCAGCATATATTTTTAAGACTGGCACAAGGTTACTTTAAGTCAAGGTTACTTTAAGTCTTTAAAATGTATTTTGCTGTTTTTAGTTTTATACTTTTCAGTTTGTTTTCTCCCCCTACTGAACTCATATTTATATACACTAAATAAACAGCTAAAATTACAAAACCATATTATTAAATATATCTCACATTAACTAAACATTAAACCGTAAAATAATACAATATCAACAGTTGATTGTAAACACCTTTTAAAAAGTCACACACTAAAGGTGGTTTTAAAGTATAGATAAAAAATCTGTTTAAAAGCATCTTTAATAAGTGTTAATTTCCAAAAATTCAAAGTATTAGCTTTTATCATTTTTTTGCTTTAGAATGAACTTTATGAATGAAATAAGTAAAATCAGTAAAACTTTCACAAAAACTACTTTGAAATCATTACTAAAGAATGTATACATTTGAAATTATTACTAAAAAATGTCATGAAACATTCTTTAGTAACAATAAATAAACGTTCTTTAGTGCAATTTTAAATGTATACATACGAAATTGTTGCCAAAGAAAAAAGTCTTACAAAATTTCAAAAAGCTACACAAGATGCTTATGCAACTTTATTTTTAATACTCCATACAAAAAAATCACATTGCTGATAACAATCCTGGATCCTAATCAGGGCAGTAGCAAAAAGATTTTAAAGAGAAGATATAGTGAGAGGTGGGTGAGAATAGAAAGAGGTTTTGCTAACTATGAGCAATAATAAAAAAAAAAGTCCTCATAAGCTGACTTTTGCCGACTGCCAACTAAAAATCCAATTTTACTGACTCCAGTGTTCAAATTTGCCGACTAATATTTTTAATAAAATTTTCCTAGTTAGTTAGACCAAATATGACCCTGATCCTGAAAACAACCCTAATTTAGACATCTTAAATTAGAGACTATCTATATGATACACAAAAACCTTTTTTTCACACTTCAAATTATGCTTGTTTTTTATACAAAATAACATAATTTAACACAAAATTTCAAAAGTCAAAAATTGGTTTGAATATTAAAAATTAGCAACAAAAAATATATATATATATCACTGAAAAATCAACCTTAAAACAACATTTCTCCATTCCACACAAATTTTCTTAAGAATTTTTGTAAATAGAATTTTTTTTGTGAACTGTGAATTAAAGCAACTTTTTATTTGTGTTGATGTCAGCATGATGTCAATATTTCCAAAATTTGAAACTTTAAGATTTTATAAAATTTTTGTTTAGCTGTTTTGTGTCAGCAATCACTGAAATGGTTATTGACACAATATAGAGTTACTTCACCCTCATATGGAGTTACTTCACCCTCATATGGAGTTACTTCACCCTCATATGGAGTTACTTCACCCTCATATGGAGTTACTTCACCCTCATATGGAGTTACTTCACCCTCATATGGAGTTACTTCACCCTCATATGGAGTTACTTCACCCTCATATGGAGTTACTTCACCCTCATATGGAGTTACTTCACCCTCAAACAAATTGAAGCACTACAATAACAAATGTTGACATAATTAAAAAACATTTTTGACTTTAATAACTGCAATCACAAATATTGACTTAATTAAAAATAATTTGACACAGCTGACTTTCACCAGCTTATTTGGATAAATTGATTTTAATATGATATTTTTATCAAAGAATTTATATCTAAAATACTCTCTTACCTCTTTATCTATAAAATGACTTCTGTCTTTTTCTTGTTCAGGATTTAGTAACAAAACTTTAACTTCTAAAAAATATTCCAATAATATTTTCATTGATGATGATATTCATCATCATCATCATCATCATCATCATCATCATCATCATCATCATCATCATCATCATCATCATCATCATCATCATCATCATCATCATCATCATCATCATCATCATCATCATCATTATCATCATCATCAGATAAGAAAGAGTAAAAAAGAGTAAAAAATTTTTTGAAACACCATTTTGATATTGTTTATACTTTTACTTAAAATCATAACATCCTTGTTTAGCAGTTTTAAATCAACTTAAAGTATCATTAGCTTAAACAACGAAATAAATAATAAAAAAAAAGATTTTATCTAATGATTTTTATCCAAATTATGTTCTAAATACTTTTGGAAAACTATTAAAAATATTAATAACTAAGAGGCAAGTATAACATGCAACTTTTCATATATGGGTTCATTATTACCTATCCTGAGCATAAGGTAGAACTATTTGCAAAAAACTTTTTCTTTATTTTTATTCTTGAACTTTAAGAACCCTCTATTTTTGTCATCAGCAGGGAAACAGGTAAATCCTTTGTTAGACATATAAATTACTTCAGTATTTATTTGCTCAAGTTCTATTTCACTTCAACACTTCAACAGCTTGTAGTCCTGACAATTTCCTGTCATTCTTACAAGTGTTCAACTTGTTTTCCTAACTGTTGGAAAAAAGTGTTTCTGCTTTTAAAAAATCTGAACTACTACTCCTCTGACCTTTTAAACCATTGTCTTTATCATTCTTCTTACTTTTATTGAAAAGATTTTCTCTTTTCAAAAAAATACTAAAATAAACACTGCTAAAGTAAACAACCATCTCTTGTTTTTTTATCTTGAGCACAATTTTGTATAACTGATTATTTAGCAAAATCATACTTTTACTGTAATTATTTATTCATACAACAATTTTTCAGAATTTTCTTCCATCTTCATGTTGTCTTAGACCTAATCTAGATTAAAGTCAGCATTTTTAGACAACATGAATTTGTGGAATATGTGTGTTTTTCTCTCTCTCTCTCTCTCTCTCTCTCTATATATATATATATATATAATATATATATATATATATATATATATATATATATATATATATATATGTATATATAAATATATAAATTAGTAGAAAATCACTTAGCAAAATTTTTTATATATATATATATATATATATATATATATATATATATATATATATATATATATTATATATATATATATATATATATATATATATATATATAAGGAACTAACATTCTTGTGCCTATAACTATTTCACTCTATTTTATTTAATATTCTATTCTAAATTCATAAAAAAATCACCTAACTTATTTAAAACATCTTAACTTATTCAAATTCATAGACTATCATTCTCTAAATGTTTATACTACCATCATGCTAATTAATGTTAAGCTGTAAGTGAGTTGCTTATGTGCACAACAAAATTAATAGTGCAGTAATGCTAGCTTAGTAGTTATTTATTTTCATACTTTTTATTTACTAATTCACCCATCACATAACTCACCCATTCAGCCACTTTATCACTAGTCTTAGAGTGTTCTCTTAATGTCTTATAGTGTTTTTTTAATGTTGCCATTATAAAAGGATAAAAAAAAGTTAACCAACTATTAGCAGTATAAATTTTAATGCCATTTACAGCTTTATTTAAAATTTAGTATCAACATGGTATAATAATAGTTTTTTTTTAATTTTTAAAAACATTATGACATTTAATAACCATATCTACTGCAAAGAAATAAAACTAGTCCTTTATAGCACACAAAGGACTAGTTCTGCCTTCCAAAAACAGATGAGCAAAAACTCGTTCTAACAGAAGGCATAGATCCTTACTCAATTCCAGATAGTAAATTAAAAAACAATGACCAGCTGTAACTTACGCTGATTTATTAAATTATCTATTATTTTCACTAAGTTCTTATATAGCTTAGGATATGAAGGCCTATAAAAGCTTGGAAGCGAATGATCAAGTATTAGAAAGTTAAATCAGGAATGTAGGAGTTATTAACAGGCTTGTGGAGTTGAGCCAGAGCCGGAACCAGGGAGCTGCTATTTTTTAGTGGAGCCAAATCTGCAAAAATAAAGCGGCTCTTGGCTCTCATGTTTCTTTAAAGAAATAGAATATGTTTTTATTGAATATTATAATTACACTATTTTATTGAATGAATGAATTATTATTGAATGAATGAATGAATTATTTATTGAATTTCGACAATTTTGTACTCAACAAAATACTATCCTTTAATAACATTTTTTAATATGTTTTATTAAGAAAAAACAAAAAAACAAACAAAGTAAATTATATATAGAAACATTCTTACATTATTACATATATTGCTTTATATATTATGCTGTTAGATATTTGATGCGCGATTTAATGAGCAAAGGTTATTCATATCTTAAAAATTATACTACCAAGCGGGCCTTGGACATACAAAAGACATTTTTTAAATGCCTTTGGAACGTTTTGAACTTCTTTTGAACATTTTGAAAGTCTTTTGAATGTTCAAACTAACTGTGCTCATTGGGTACCTTGTGGGCACAGGACCTTTGAGTACGGGACTTAAAAAAAGAGACCTACAAAAGGACATAAAAGATAGACATAAGATAGACGTCTTTTAAACATCTTTGGAACGTTTTTGCATGTCTTTGGAACGTTCAAAAGATGTATTTTTTAGACACCATGCTCACTGGGTAGAATTAGAACTAAAATTAAAACAAAAAACTCTAATCTTGGGTAAATAATATATAGAAAAAAATCTATATTTACCAAAAAAAAATTTTAAATGTAATATGTGATAGTAGAGTAGTGATAGTAATACACTAACCTTGTAATCATGAAAGTTGGGTTAAAATTAATTGCTGTAATTGGTTTGGATTTAAGTCAGGAAATGTGATCAAAAAAAATATTCTAAAAATTTGCAATTTGTGTTCATAAAGTACGGGAGCTGGAGCCAAGCCAGACATTTGTTTAGGAGCCGGGGCAGAGCTTTAAAAAACTTTCGGCTCCACAAGCCTGCTTACTACTAGCCAGCCTGAGAACCATTAAATTGAGTTTTAGAACTGTACCCTCATTAGGAGATAAAAGAGAAGAGTTGCATATCAACTATCAAGAGGGCACAAGCAAAAATCTGAGTAGATTCAAGAAGATCCAGCATTCATTATCCTTGGCAGGAAATGTAACACAGGTTTACATCTACACCAACCTAATAGATAAAAAAGGGGTTTGAGGCTGGTTAGCAGAATTATTCTGCTTACTTTCAGTCTTTGCTTAGGAAGCTTTTTAATTACTGTTAAATAATTTAATAAATCAAAATCCCTGAATCTGCTTATAAATACTCTACAAAATCTGATAATCCTGAAGTACCTGATGATGTTTTTTTGTGTGTTTTGTTTATTGCAAAATATATTTAGAAATTAAATGTCAATTATAGAAAAAACATATTACAAGATATGATTGAGAAGGAAAAAGCTTGTTATATTTATTTAGAAAGTTATAAAGAGATTTAAAACTTAAAAAGTGATAATAATCATGTATGTGTGTATATATATATATATATATATATATATATATATATATATATATATATATATACATTACCGACTTAGTAAAAGTCAGACTTATTCAGGGCCTGAGTTAACGGGATTCTATAAATATATGTATGTATATATATATATATATATATATATATATATATATATATATATATATATATATATATATATATATATATATATATATATATATATATATATATACATTACCGACTTAGTAAAAGTCAGACTTATTCAGGGCCTGAGTTAACGGGATTCTATAAATATATGTATGTATATATATATATATATATATATATATATATATATATATATATATATATATATATATATATATATATATATACATTACCGACTTAGTAAAAGTCAGACTTATCCAGGGTCTGAGTTAACGGGATTCTATAAATATATAAATATATAAATATATATATATATATATATATATATATATATATATATATATATATATATATATATATATATATATATATGTATATATCTTATACTGCTGAGTTAGGTGAGCATGATGATGTCATATTCACCTAACGTCAAATAGCCTGCTGCCGGGGGCTTCAGTACATACATCGACTGACAAATAGCCTGACTTGCAGTGGAGTGCTGCTACATCGGCTGAGAGTTTGGTATGGGTCAGCAACCTTTTCATTCATTATTCCTCGTTTTCCCTCATTGTTCTCTAAAAACGCTCACTTAATTTAGGCTAGCAAAAAAAGTGAGCAATTGCACATATAAATATGCTATAGTAGATATATATATATATATATATATATATATATATATATATATATATATATATATATATATATACTCATATAGTGTCGCTTTAAGAGCTTTTTAATGTAAAAAAAGTCTCTTACGACTACAATTTTAATTACCTCGTCTCTTAAGCTGTTTTTGATTGTCATCGAAATGTCAAAGCAATTAATTTATGCGGAAGTACATTAAATTTAATTGTTTTTTAACAAATTTTTAAAAAACCGCAATTATAACGACTAGAAAGTTTTTTTTAATTAGTGGTGTTTTTGTTATTGATTTAATAAAAAACATTTTTTAAACATGCGTAAATGTTGCTACATCGACTATCTTATAGCCTGACTCGCAACGGAGTGCTGCTACATCGACTGACAAATAGCCTGACTCGCAACGGAGTGCTGCTACATCGACTGACAAATAGCCTGACTCGCAACGGAGTGCTGCTACATCGACTGACAAATAGCCTGACTCGTAAGGGAATGCTGCTACATCGACTGACAAATAGCCTGACTCGCAAGGGAGTGCTGCTACAACGACTGACAAATAGCCTGACTCGCAAGAGAGTGCTGCTACATCGAATGAGGGTTTGGTTTGGCCAGGCAGTCTATCAATTAAAAAAAAAAATTTAATTTTTAAAACATTTTCTGGTCTGGTTTATTAACGCGCTCTTTAAAACTACAGTTTATGGGAAATATTTTTTGATGCTACGCAAGAGACATGCAAGACTATATATATATATATATATATATATATATATATATATATATATATATATATATATATATATATAAATATATATATATAAATATATATATATATATATATATATATATATATATATAAATATATATATATATATATATATATAAATATATATAAACATATATATATATATATATAAATATATATATATATATATATATATATATATATATATATATATATATATATATATATATATATATATATATATATATATATATATATATATATATATATATATATATATATATATATATATATATATATATTAAATGCTACTAAAGATGGACATAAGTTAATCAAGACACAAACTGAATAAAAAATTTTATCTAATTTTGTATGAAATTCTTGATCTTAAGTAAATCAACTAGTATCAAGTCAAAGAAACTCTGTCATACTTTACAAATGCAGGAAGTCTAAAAAGTCTATTATCTGGTTGTTGTTTTTTCAGTTAGTGAGCAAGTAAACACGCAGGAAAAAACCATTTTAACATATAATTTATAATATCTATTATGTAATGCAATTGATATTTTATAAAGTTTTTAGTGCAGTAAAACACTCGCCTTGAAATCTGAACTATAATTATAATTATAAAAAATAATAACTCGCCTTATAATCTGAATTATAAAGTCTATTATATCAGCTTTGTTTACACTTTTATCCTCTCATAATAGCAACATTTCATGAATAAAACAACCCTGACATGACGCACGGGAACACTCTATAAACTTATTACTATGAAAATATATACTTATTACTATTAAAATTTGTATTGGAAAAAACTTACCGTCAACACTACCTTCAGGATTTTTGAGGACAACACGCTGCACGTCCATATTTTCCCATATTATTAATGTTTCAACAGATCCCATTTCTAAAGCCTAAAAATAAAGTTGTTTTAAAATGCTTTAAAACGCGTTGTAAAACGCTTCAAAACTATTAGAAAAATTGTTAAATACTAATTTTAAATTAAAACAACCTAATTTAATTAACTAAAATGACTCAAAAACGTATCAAGATTTGCAATAATTTATATAAAGCAAAAATAAATTGAAAATAATTTGAAATTAAGTTGAAAAAACTTTAAATATGATTAATAACTATAAAAAGATTGGTAAGGATATTTTAAAACCAATATTCATTATTTTAATTTAACTGTTTTTTTTAGTGACACTTTGAAGTAGATTAACATGGTTGTGAAAGAATTGACAGCGTTTTAAAAATAAAAACCTACATTGGCATCAACATTCTTCTTGATCCATAAGGCATTTGTTTTTCTGCACGAGGGAGAATCAAATGATGATATATATATATATATATATGCGGTAGCGGTGTAGTGGTAGAGCGCTCACTTCATAAGCAAGAGGTTCCACGTTTGATCCCAACCATGCCCCTGGTAGTACCGCGCTCAACTTGTTTCTCTGCGCAGCGGCCTTGTTCGTCAAGATTTATGTTTCAGAGTAATATAGTTGAGAGAGGGTTATAACCACAAATAAGTAGCCTCCACATCTGTAGTGGCCTTCTCAGCCTTGGGGAGGTGAATTAACAAAAAATATATATATATACATACATATATATATATATATATATATATATATATATATATATATATATATATATATATATATATATATATATATATATATATATATATATATACATACATACATAAGCCAATTACTAACATGCTTTAGGTAGCGCAAACGTTTTTATATAAAGGGGAAAACCCAATCTAATTGTGTAGTAGTAAGTACATTTAAATCCCTTTAAGAAAATCAACCGTAACCAAGGGTTTCCTCATTTTTAAAAAATAAACATAAAAAGAATGTTTTAAAGAAAAAAAATTATGTTTAAAAAAGTATAAGATTTTCAAATAACGAAATTTTCTTTAAATCAACATTTAAATTTAATTTATAACTTTTTTTATAAAAATATTGTTTAATTTAAAGATATGATTTTAAATTTAAATTTTTTAAACAAAATAAAACTTACAATAATTTGTAATGTGCTTTTGAATTTAATTACAATGAGGTATTTTAAAATACGTAACTGGAGCAATTAAACTTTTAACAATGTAAATATCTTTATTTAATAAATTTACATATATTCATGTTGTGCTTTTCTGTTACGCAACAAAATCTTATAACAAGGCCTGATATATATATATATATATATATATATATATATATATATATATATTTTATATATATATATATATATTTTATATATATATAAATATAAATATAAATATATATATATATATTTTATATATATATATATATATATTTTATATATATATAAATATAAATATAAATATATATATATATATATATATATATATATATATATATATATATATATATATATATATATATATATATATATATATATATATGTTTAAACAATTTAAAATGTATTCTACAAAAAGAGTGCTCAATGTTCTTAAAAGAACAGAGCAATTACAAAATTAGTAGAAAATCACTTAGCAAAATTTTTTCTCATTTAACACTGTGTTTCATCAATAAAGACTCATCAGAAATGATTTCTGATGAGTCTTTATTTATCAAAACACAGTGTTAAATGAGAAAAAATTTTGCTAAGTGATTTTCTACTAATTTATATATATATATATATATATATATATATATATATATATATATATATATATATATATATATATATATATATATATATATATATATATATATATATATATATATATATATATATATATACTATATTTCCCACCATGGGAATGGTTAGTTGCTGTTTAGTAGGGTCTGTCATAATTTATGATTTTTTGAAAAAAAGCTTTTGCAAAAATGCGGCATATAGAAAACTTGTGTACAACTAATTTAAAACCATAACAAAAAAACAAAAAAAAAAAATAAAAAAAATTATATTAAACTACCAAGAAGTGCGTTTTAAAATTGCATATTTATGGTAAATTCTTCATAAATAGCTTGACCCTAACCACAGATACTACTTTACGTTCATGCATTTTTAAATGCAAGGAATTGTTTATACCCACTCAATTTGAATTCTACGTCTAATATGTGATATCAAAACTATAAAAAGTCACCAATTTATAACTTGTCAAACTAATAGTTTTTATGTTATTTTTATATGTCAAAAATATTATTTAAAAAAACAACTTTTTATGAAAAAGGTTTGCAAATTATTAAATTTGCTATTTAATCATGGCAGAGTCAATATCATCAAGAACTAGAAAAAGGAGTGGATTAAAGCTTTTGGAATATATAGGTTCTGGAACAGATTTTCTTGTATCAGAGTTACCAATGCTAAGAGATTTTCTTAGATATGGTCTGTTTTTACAAGAAAGAAAAAATAAAAACAAAAAAAATTATCCCATAAATATCCCATACTTAATGAACGATGTTTACTCAAAGTTAATTGGTAAATGGATCCACACAAATGCTTTATTTGTACATCCTGTAACACATATTGAACGTTATATAACTGCGCGATTGGTGTATGATTGGAATGCAGCCAACCTGGTTGCTAGAGAAAAGCAAGCTTATAGGATAAAGATAGATTTATGGTTAATCATGACAAATTGTTTGATATACTGAATTGTAATTGCCAAATTATTACTTGCCAAGAGAAAAAATGTTTGTCAGAATGTAATGATGAAGCCCACATTAATTACGTGTGCAAAAAGAAAAAAAAAGATTCCAAAGAAAGAGTTTTTATACTTGGCAAAGAGCTGAAATAGGGACTACCGGTACATATCAAAATTCTCAGACTTGAAAGAAAACAAAAAGCGACATAAAATTGGAGAAAGAAGATTGAAGGAAGAAGTAAGATTTTAAAAATTAGTTATGTTTTTAATTAATTACTAGTTAATAAATAAAAGTTAATTAAACTCATATGTAAAATTAATATTAGTTATATTACAAATATCTGTCTGTTTTGATTTAAAACTAACATCTCTAATTAAATTCAAGATTTTGACATATGACCAATTGTATTTTACTTATCTTAAGACATCAGATAAAAAATATATAATTAAAACTACTTGTACTTAAAGTAATTTACACAACATTATTTAATGAAAAATCAATTACTTTATCTATAGTTAAAAAAAGCGTCTGAAGAACTGTAACAAACATTGGAAGTCAGGAAGAAAGGTGTGAATAGGAATTTAGTGAAACAGAGGAACTATTTAGTAATGAATGTTGCATAACAAACATCAATACTCAACTTAATCTAATTTGCCGACAAAATGAAGTTCAGGATCATTTATGAGGACAAAGTTACAGGAAACAGCTGCAATTGCAACAGCAGCTTGAAATGGATGCAGTAATAATTAAAGAAGACGATACCAAGTTAGTTATTGATCACAATAAAGTCAAGCAAGAAGTATACTGCAAAATTATGCAGTATCTTTCTATAGAGTTTGACACTCGATGCAGGACTAGCACTTTTGTGTTTTTTTTTTGAAATGGAAGAATTGATAATACAATGTTCAATAAATAGATAAAGGTTCAAATAAATATTATTCTGCTACAATCAAAGAGGAACATTATACAGAATGTCAAGAGCCCAGTAGTAGGTATCTTCTCCATTTCACACTGAAAAAGTGCAAAAACATATGAAACACACTGTATTGCTCAGAATATATATGAATTTTTTGAAAAATAATGGTACCGATAAAAACTTAAAGGAAAATGAAAAATAATTGTAACGATAAAAAATGAAAATTAATAATACTGATAAAAGCTTAAAGGCAATAAGTGGTGATTCTACTTGTGTTAACACCAGGGTTTGAAAAAACCAAGGGTTTTTTTAAAAAAAAACCAAATGGTTTTTTTTGGGTTTTTCGGGTTTTTTTAAAAATTGATCAAAATACCAAATTTTTATAATTGTAAGAGTACAATAATTTTTTTTTTAATTTCATAAATTCACCTTCCTATTGCTCCAATGACCATTTCAGTCAAGGGAGCAACTCATTTTTTAAAAATATTTTGTCTCAATCCTTAACATTACCATTTTTACTAACAAACAACATTAACAACTAAAATTTTTAAACAAAGGCGCTGTGTGGAGAAATAGATTGAGGTAATTTGAACCCCAACCTTCTGGTTGCGAGCCAAATGTTTTACTACTAGTCTACTAGCACATTTTACCTATAGTGCAAAAAGGGACTCCATCAACTATAAAAGATGTTAATTAATTGATCTAAATTAAAAACATGTTCAGAATATTTTTGACTAAAAAAAAAATCAGTGTGAAAATTATGACAATTGAGTTATTCAAAGTTGGTAAGACAATATAAATGTTGCAAACTAGTTTTTTTTACTAACATGTTCAACATATCATTTCAAAAACTATTTTGCACAAGTTTACAACATGTAATCAACAAGTTTTCAACATGATGTTGCAACCTTATAAGTTATTATCAATCAGGATGACTATGAACACTTTTTAAACATTTTTGTATCATAGAAGAAAACTGCTAGCCTAATCACTACATTTTTTTTTTATCAGAACATTATACTGTCCAGCTTCCTGGAAAAGTTATCGGCCTGATCAACTGGACTGGCGAAAAATGGATTTTTGCCTAAACTTTGTTTCTTAAAATATCTAAAATAAATTTGTTAAGAACCATTACAGTGTCTTCGCCACCAAGTTTTTTTTTTTCCTTGAAGATGTTTTACCGGCTCAGTTTTGCAATGCAAATTGCAAACTGAATCAAAGTAACACATTATATAGCTCTATTGTGTGTGTTTCTTCACCTTTTAGCAACTTAATACTAATGTTAATTTTCAACCCGCTGTTCATAGTCACCCCTGTTGGTGGTACATGTTGTAAACTTGTAGCTGATGCAAAATATTCAAAACCTGTCAAAAGACAGATGAGCACGAGTGTCATTTTTACCAACAAATCTTGTCCTTGTGAAATGCATACAGATTTTCAACATGTTCTCTCATTGAATGAGCAAACATGTTGCAACCTTGCTTGCACATAACTTAATTTTTTTTAAGTTTTAAAGTTGTATGCACTTAAGGACAAATCTAGTAAACTGTAGCATTTTTTTTTTTGCCTGACAACTTTCCATTTCTAAACTGTAAATAAAGTTTAATAATTTTTATATATAGTATTTTGCTTGTATTTTTGTATTTTTTTTTTTTTTTGCAGTTTACAACATAAGCTTTAAAAAATAAAAGATCAAATACCAATATAAAGGAATATAGACATTCGAGAGGAGAATAAAGATACTAAATAACTAGTAATGTTTTGAAATTTAGTTAATAGAACGATTTTTATTTCCTTTATAAGTATTTAACTAATTTAATGTTATAATACATATTTCAATACCATTTATAATAACTAAAAAAAATAATAAATAACCAACTTGCTACAAAAACAGATTGATCGATTTTGGGTATATTCTAAAGACCATTATGTATATAAATACAGTGTTTACAAGAGTAATTACAGTATAAAGGTTGCACTTGCTGATAATAAAGCATTTATAAGTGTTAAAAACAGAGTTATCAGTTGTAAAATAGTTCATTTTTAAAAAAAACCAAATATATTTTGGGTTTTTTTGGGTTTTTTTAAGGTGGATTTTTTTGGGTTGAGTTTTTTTGCCAACCCTGGTTAACACAGGGTGGTTAGGTAAAGCAACATATTGGCTGGAAGAGAATTTAGAAAGAAAGCTAAACTTGCTGGTTTGCGCACTCTATAAAAATGAACTTCCTCTGCGTTATCTGATGACAACTCTTGATGGAGAGACTTTGAGCAACAACAAACATAAAAGCAATACTGGAAAATTATTAAATGATGTAACTGCTCTGGAAATTGATCACTCCTTAAAAAAAACTGATGTTGAAAATCCTCTTATTACTGCAGTCTATTGGCAGTTGTCAGATGGCTGACAACTGCCAATAGACTTTGCAGAGTTCGGGTCTCAAAACATGAGTTGGAAAGCGAGAAATTAAAAAACCTTAAACTAATAATTGAGTTTGTTGTGGGAATTTACATGCCTATGTGGTTTAAAATTAAAGTCGAACATAGGTTTACTGACGAACCGAGACACATTCTTTACCAGCTTAGCCTTCTGAAACATCAATCAAGTGAAGTAGCTGCAATCGTTATGCCAACAGTTCTATGTTCAGCGTGGTATGCTTTCTCTGAGTTAGTCATACATTAGTCATACATGCTCTGCTCAGATAATGTAGAGGAAAGGAAGAACAGTATAGAGTTAAATGTGAAAATCAGGGGCCATATTGACAAAAAACTTCAAACTGGTGATAATAATGTGAGAGCTAGAATAACTCTAGAAATAAAACATGATGCAACAAAAATTATACAGCGAATCAACTGGAATATCTTCTATGAGCCTATTTTTACATGTGATCTGAAAACAGAAGAAGTAAAACAGATTATACTTCAGCATATGGATGTTTCAGATTGACTTTGTCACGGGAATTCAATTGAAAGTCAAATTAAACAGGTAACAGAAACAACAAGCAAAGATTATTCTCATGAAAAAAGGAATGGTTTTAAAAGATGGCAGGATTTATAAAGACAGTTGATGTCAACTAATTGCTCAAAAGTTATAATAAAAAGAAGTCTTATTTTATTAAATAGATAACTAAATGATAGATAAATGATTATAAATAGAAACTATTATAAAAGTTTTAATAATAACAGATTAAAAAAAAAAAAATTTTTTTAAAGTTTAAACTGTCAAAAATATACAACTACAAGTAAAAATATGCTATTCTTGTAAGAAATTTTCTCCGAGTTTAAATGAGCCCTAAATCATGATTAATCATTAGCTCAATTATTTTGGATTTTTTAACTTTTTTTAGTAATATTATTTAGTTAGTTAATTAAGTTACACAAAGCCACAACATTGTTAAACTCATCAGCTGAGTATATGCATCTATACCCAACTCGGATGTTGTCCACTTTTATGTGGCATTTATGGCAAATGATGAGCTGTAGTAACTACAATGACTGAAAACTGTCCAGTTGATAAATTTAAACTAGCTGTTTAAATTTATCAACTGATGTTGACTCAATGACATTATCTGGCAAAGTATTCTAGTCATTGATTACACGGTAGTTAAAAAACTTACATCTGACTTTGCATTTAAAAACACAAGTTTTTAGAATACAGGGTTTTCAATCTGGAAGAAAAAAATAGTATAACAAATCTAACTATTTAGTAGTTTCATTTATAATAATAATTCTATTGTGAAGAACCCTTAGCTAATATTTTTTTAAATATACTTACTCTCGAGTCCTTAATACAAAGAGGGGGTAGGTTGGGGTGGGTAGTGGTTATTTTTTTGTGTTACAATGCTTTTTTATAAAGAATTTCAGTTTATAAATCTAAACTAATATTTTTGACTAAACACGCATAAAACAATTTAATTCTAGCGTGGTTTGCGGTCAAATGCGCATTTTTAAACAGCTGTAATTTCAATAGGATTTAATATGCTGATATAAGTTTTATACTTTGGTGAGAAATAAACCAAACATTTTCAACAAATTGAGATTTACTAGGTTAGCATTTTAGCCTGTTTAAACTGAAAGTTTTTGTTTTTATCAGTGACTGAATGAATTATTTTCTAATTTTTACGGTCAATTTTCACTGATTTTTTTTGTTTTGTTTTGAGATATAAAGTTTTGCTGACAAGTAAAAATTAATAAATGTGGTCTTAATAAGCTTGGGGTGGGTGGGAAAATTTTCAAAAAATTAGTAAATGTCCCCCCTCTTTTTATAAAGGACTCGATCGTAGGAGTTTTTTTCTGTTAATTTGGAACCTCAAATAACACAAAAATTAAGATTCATCAAGATTATGTCAGCACTAGCTCCAAAAATGGCTCCTGCTATACTTTGTTAAATCTGACTCCATTAGTTGGTTATAATTTTTAAAAATAAAAAAAAAATTATTAGGTTTTAATTCAAGTTAAATTTAAAGACTCATTCTTTAGGTCTGGGTTGAATAGTACACAATCATCAATTAACATTACTATAGGTAGCATTTAAAATTTAATGTTTAGGCTTTAGACTTTCTGCTTAAATTAAATATTCTGCGTTAATGTAATATTCATCACCACTCTACTTTAAAAATTATGAGTTTTTTTTTTAGCTCTCTTTAATTTATGTAGGTCTTTAATTTATGTAGGACAACCTCTACAAATGACAACTCATCTAAATTAATGATAACCTATTACATAAACTTATTTATAGCCTTATACTAAACATTTTTGAAATGACACACTAATTGAAAGAATACTTGCATAAAATAAAATATAACACTTTGGAAGTACACAATATATACTTTATACATACAATAGTACTAAACTAAAAATAATTTGTTTTGAAAAAATTAAAAATATTTTGATTTGAAAAAACTAAATACTTTAATAGTATCCTCTACACCAAAACAAAATCTTCCAGTGTCTTGAGAAATTTCATCAAAGTACTTTCCAATAAGTTTTTTCTCTTGAATGAATTTAACATTTGACAAAACTTCTGCAGAAAGTTCAATTGCTTGATTGAACCCGTTTTCACCACCATAAGAAATATCTACTATTTTTAAAATTTTAGCTTGCAGTCGCTATAAAAAAAAGTTTTCAGTTCTTAGTTTGAAAAATACAGTAAAAAAAAACAAAAACAAAAATCAATTAAAAAATTACTTGGTCAAACATGTCTGATGTACTTAGCTCCGATTTAAAATCTGCAGAGCCTGCCATTACAATTCCAGTAACATTTACCTAAAAATTAAATTATTTAAATCTAAAAATTAATCAAACAACCTTTTACTACATTATAAATAAAAATAATTCTTATGATTCTTATAAAATAAGGAATAACTATTCTTAAAACATTAATTGACCATTAATTTAACCTTTAAAATCATTTTTAAATTAATCACAAAAAGGCCCACAACAGAATCCTTTTATTTTTTTAACAAGTTACTCAAAACACTTTCATAAAATCAGTTTATTTGTATGTAACCATTACATTTGCATCACAAGATTAAATTATTCTGCTATTATGGATTATTTTTATATAGCAAATAATCCTAAAATATGATTGTGAATATTATAATAAACTAATAAAGTTTAATTGAAATATTTAACATTGATTGTTTAATAATGAAACTGAAGATTATTAGATAAAAAATAAATCATTGATTGAAACTGGGAATTAAAATGATATTAACAAAATAACAACACATTTACGGTGCTTTCAATTATAGATAAAACTTACAACATGGATTTTTAGAAAACAAGAATTCATATTACTTAGATATAAAATAATAACTCTGAAGTGTTTTAATAAAATGATTTTACTCCATTATACACTTTTATTTTGAACACAACCACAGCTTTAACACTAACAATTCATTATTTTAATATTTTTAACACTTAAACACTAACATTTCTTAATTTCATTTTTTGCTTGCATATGATCATGAATGTAACAAAGTATTATGGGTAATATGAAATTTATTCTCAAAATATTTATATCGTAAAATATTCATATCTTAAAACTTTTAAATTTAAATATATATTTTATGTAAACTGAACACTAAAGTATTTAACCTTAAACAACACCACACTTGCTATTTTTAAACAATATAAAAAATAATATAAAAATATTTAACTGTGGAGGTTAAATATTTTTATATTACAAGGATATTTTAGTTTTTTAATTTTTTTAAAAGTTTGACAACTAATTATCAGTGTAGATTTCTGGCAGAGTTTTTTGAATTTTTTAAATTTAATTTCATAAAATAATAAAACAAGAATAAATAAATTAAAATTAAACTGTTTAAAAGTAAAAATAAAAAACATTTTTCAAAATCTTAAATGATTTTTCAAAATCTTTTTTTTTGATATTTCTATTTGCACTAGCAATGTGATATTTCTATTTGCATTAAAATTACTTTTTATTTATCTACTTTAAAATTAAATTCTACTTTCATTAAAAATTTTTTTTTTCTTAAAACAATGAGATAATTTTTAAACCGTACTTTATCATTTGAAATAAACATTTGAACGGCAGTTTCTGCTACTTTTCTAACATAGTTATGACGCTTTTCCATTCTTAGACGAGCAAAACGCAAAGCTGACTGTCCTCCACGACCTAAAAAAAAAACAGTCACTTTTATTTAAAAAACCTGATTTCAAAATTTTTTTTTGAAATGCTGAATTGTATGAAGACAGTCTCTTACAGGACTAACCCTAATCCAGGGCAGGGATATTAAAAACAACAAATAATATTAAATAAACATTACTATAAATTCTTTTAACAAAATTTACCATGTTTTTTTGGCAAATCCACAGTAAACTTATGTAGCACATCACGAGTATTGCCACACAACGTTCCAAACAAAGCACCATTACCATCCATAATAATAAAACCAAATTTATTATCATCTTCTAGTAGTGCAGTTAATGCCTGGAACATTTAAGATAAAATGAAAAATGTTGATCTTTTAAAGAATTAGGCAGACTTTAAAAGAAACTCAAAATGTTGTTCAAATTTTTTTTTTTAAAGAAACTCAAAATGTTGTGTACAGGTTTAGAAAATATTGAAAAAATAAAATTGAGCTAAATAGTTCCTACTAAACCTGAGTACTTGAATAGTTCAATTAGGTCAGATTAATAATCACCACTTTAAAAAAAAAAGAATATTTTTTGGAACCAGAAAAAATAAGTTTTTTTTTTTTTTAATTTTTATTTTACTTCACCTCCTCAAGGCCGAGAAGGCCACTACAGACGAGGAGGCTACTTATTTTGTGGCTATAACCCTCTCTCAACTCTATAACTCCGAAACACGAACCTTGACGAACAAGGCCGCTGCGCAGAGAAACGAGTTGAGCACGGTACTACCAGGGACGTGGTGGGGATTGAACTCGGAACCACTCGTTTATGAAGCGAGCGCTCTACCACTACACCACTACCGCATGTGTAAAAAAAAGTAAAAAGTAAAAATGGTAACTAATTTGCAATAAAAATAGGAAGTAGATATGAAAAATTTTTTTTTTACAATTTTAAAAAAAATATTTGAAATTTACCCAGCCATAAATAAAATATTTAATTTAATATCTGTACCTCAGAAGTCAAAGGCCGGTTGTCACATTTTAGAAACTGTTCAGGTGAGAGGAAGTAGTAAAATAATTAGTCTTTACTGTGTAACTTTTTCGTGTTTTATTTAATTTGTCTTAAGGCACATGAAATATAATTACACCCAAAAGGTAAAAAGTCATTTCTGAACAACAGACATTTTTCCTTTGAACATTGTGGGGACACCAGACCTTTTATATTGATCTAACTTTGTTTCACATTGTCGTAGGACAACAGTGAAAACTAAAAAAGGTCTCATACATAACTCATTTTCACAAAAAACTGGACAAACAACCTTTGTCTTCTGAGTTTCAGATATATAAATACAATACTTTTAACCCCTCCCCCCCCCCCCCACACACACACACAAAATTGCTTGAACAAAAGCAAATATCATTCTGGGACTGCAGGACACATTAAAAAAGATTCTTACAAACATAGTTTGGTCAAAGAATAACTTTTTTCCTCCCTAAGCTATATTTAAAAATCTTATCTTATTCAAGTTCTTGCCAAAGTAGTGCAAAAATTTATTTCAATAGAAAATATGACTGGTTCAGAATGGGATTGTGACTTAATTGCTATGAGAATTGCAATTTTTAACTGCAAATCTCTGATTATTGTTAAAACTATTGCATTTTTTACTAGATTTTCAAGGGTCATAAAAAACCCTTAAAAAATTTAAAACTATTTTGTCAACAAAAAAACAGACTAAATCAGTCAAATTACTCCTACATTTTAAGCAAAATAAACATAAAATTAATTATAATAATTTTACATTGTAGAAAATTTAAATTCCAAAATACTTAAAACAAATGTTTCCTAATAATTTTCAAATTTTCCTTATTTGATCTGGTAATTTTTAAATTAATAATTTTTGAATTCTCTGAATTTAAACCAAGGTAAGTCCAAAGCAGAAAACCATAAACAAGTTGCAAGCCTTTTCATGAAAAAATATTTTTTGATGATCTTTACAAAGAGGTCTTAATAAGTTTTGTACTACAAAACCTGTTGTGTTACCAATATTTTACAGTCGATATCAAAAGTTTGGAACATTCAGAAAATTTGCAGAAAGTTCAAAATATTCATTTAAAAATTTTTTTATAACTAAAAATTAGTTAATATTATATATATGCTTAGTTAGCATGTATATTGAGTTCATATAACATACACGGTTAAATTATACTTTGAACTGCTAAATTTGATTTAGCCATAGTTGGATATTATTTTAAAAGACATTATGCTATTATATATGCATATATCACAATATTATCATTAACTAATATAACATATTATTTTAAATAACATATTATATTAGTTTGATGTTGTTTTAAATACAAATTAAAATAGGATTATGGGAAAAACTAAGTAATGGCGGAAAAATGTGCTCGCATTTTACAAAAATAATGACTGTTATTTTAAACTCCAAAATGGATGACAAAATATGACTATTCAAAGCGTAGACGATTGCATTAATTGCATTGGTGGCATGATAATTTCTACTGAGGTATTTCCCACTGGCACCAAATGTTGTGATTATAAAGAAAAATTTAGTGCAAACAATTTTGTGTATTTAAAAAAATCACATTCCAGCAAAAATTCTTGCTTTTCGAAAAAAAATATTCAAAACAATATTGTCAAAAATACAAAAGTTGGTCAGGAAAAGATTTTCAAAAATACAAAAGTTGGTCAGCAGAAGATTGGAAGAATGTAGTGTTAGCAAACCTTTAATTGAAAAGTTTTGTTGCTGCTTTAAAAATGTTAGGAGCCTATCTTATTAGAACCTCTAATATTTGATATTGAATATTAAACATTCCCCAAAAACCATGATTTGGGGTGCTATTACAGCTTATCAAAGTGCTAATAAATAGTTTATGCTTCATGTTATGAGTATAAAAATAAGTTTAAATAGTTTAAGCTTAAATAGTTTATGTTTCAACACACAATAAATAGTTATGCTTACATTGAAATACTAAACAAAAACTTAAAATATTCATGAACATCATAAATACTCACAAATTTCAGCAAGATGAGCCCCTATCACCAAAACAAGCTCGTAAGCAGTTGGCTACACAAAAATAGTATTAAGGTTATTTGCCCCTAGCCTTGCAATTCGCCTCAATCCCATAGAAAATACGCAGAACCTTAAAAATACGCAGAATCTTAAAAATGAATACGCAGAATCTTAAAAATACGCAGAATCTTAAAAAAATACGCAGAATCTTAAAAATGTCCAATCCTGAAATTGAGATCCAGATGATATGCGAGAGAAAATTAGGCAGTTATGGATTTAATTAATTAAACCTGAATATTCGAGAAAACTTATTCATTTTATGTCTACCCATTTAGCTTTTTTTTATTTTTTTTATAGCTGTTTAACTTAGTAGTTAAATACTAATGTTAAAATGGTATTTGAACTTAAAAGTTATTCTTTTTGTCAATTGTCTTCATTACCAACATATTTTGATAAAATAAAATAAAAAACTTAATAGAAATGTCTTTTTTTATACAATTACAATGTACCAAACATTTGATTAAGACTGTAGATGTCAATGGTACCAGGTCTCAGTGATACCAGTGTTTTCTAGTTCTGATCACACACAAACAGCTGAGAAATTTAAGCATTGCAAAGAAAAAAATAAATTTTAATGAAATTTTACCTCTGTATGAAATTTGTTGTCGCATAAGTAAAGAGATGTATTAATGGGTTTGAAAGGTTCAAAATCTATATTCACTTTCTTTTCTTTTCCCTCGTTAGTTACAATAGTTCCGCAGTATACAACCAGACCATTAGGAGGAACTTAAAATTAAAATATTAATAATCATATAACCAGGGCTTTAAATTTATATTTACAGAGTTATTAAAACATATTTTATAAATCAACATACTGTTGTCACGGTACTTTATACAAAATGGTTGCAAAATAAATAAAAATTAAAAAAACAAATTTTAGCTTAAAATTTTCAGAAATGTTAACAATAACTTGTAAAAATAAAGCATTAAACCTGTTCTTGAATGATTTTATAAATAAGTTTCTTCATTAAAATACTAATACTTCCATAATTTTTTCCCTTTATATTTAACTACACATGCTGGAGGAACACTGTGTTCTCTCTGTTCCTCTGGTATTTGGAGTTGAATAAGTAAAGGAAACTTGATTATAATGCCTCCTGAACTTAAGAGCCATTATAGTTAAAAAGACTTTAATTTTAAAAAAATGATAATCAAAATGTTAATTGTTTTTATAGTAAACATATAACTCCTAACAACACAAATCCGGATGAACAAGATTGAGAAACAAGTGTATAACATTGTGAAATAAGTGTACTTCAAGTGATGTGATGGGAATTGAAGCTAATGAAACTAACAACCAATAAATAATTCTAAATAAATTTGAACATTTATGTTGCATTAAATTCAAACTAGAAAAAAAAAATTTTTAAACTTAAAAAAGTTTTTTTTACATTGTTAATTATATCAAAACCTCAAAAATATTTTTCCTGTTATTAGAAAATTAGGTATATAAAGCTTACTGGTTTTAACTAAGTTGCTAACTTCATCTTTAAATCAAACAGATTGATTTAAAAGTTAATTTAATAGCAAATTTTAGTCAAAACTAATGGGCTTAATGGTAACTCAGTGAAAAATAGTCATAAGAAATAAATAGTCTGGAAGTGAACAAAGACCAATTGTTTGAACTTATTGTGTTTGATTTTTGCTATCCCCAGATCTTTGACTCTGCACAAGTTTTGAAAAAACCTCCTTCAAACAAACTAAAAGTTTTTTAAATCTCAACAGATATTGCAAATACTGGGTGAAAACTGTTCAATTTATGGAGGTTCTACCTCTAGAAGATATATTGGAGTTGCTTTTTTTAAAGTTCCAAAAGAAACAGATGATTTTACCAAAAAATGGGCTTCAGACTTAATTAACATAATCACAAAAGATTGAGTTGTTGACATGAAAGAAAATAAACAACTTTGAACATAAAAAACTTTGCAAGCTTCACTCTTCTCTAGAGCAAGTTTGGTGTTATGAAACAAAAAAAAAAGTTAAAAGATGGGGAGCTATCATCACTAAATTTACCAAGAAAAAGCACAGAACCGTCAGCTTCAATTGCTGTTTCATGATCCTCGTCATCCATATCTAAGCGAGAGGATTATCAATTATTTCTTGAAAGTTCTTCAATCAAAAAGTCTTACTTTTATAGAAACTTTGTGAACTTAAAAAAACAACTTTTTTATTTGTCTTCATTAAATAAGTTATGAATTATGAATTATTGAATTAAAAGAAATCATTCCAAAATTTAAAATTTTTGTAGAAGATTCCTTATATTTTACTATTTGGGATGGATGTAACCTGAAACACATGATTTATATTTGAAATATAAAAGATCATTTCTTAATGCTGTTTTTTTACAACTTTTTTTTCAAATAGACTCTTTAGAATTTTGCAATGGAATAAAATTTTCTGATCCTATTGAATTTTAAATTTTTAGAAGCATGTTGTTCCTAAAATTTTTGATTATTTTGTTTAAAATAACTCTTTAATGTATTTTAAGTCTAAATTGTATCAAATTGAATTTTATCGCAGCAACTCTTGTCAACTATTACTCTTAGGAAAAAAATCAACCTCACAGATTTTGTCAAGAACTGAATAATATAAGCTCATTCTAATATGCTCTCTAAAAATCTACTCTTAAAAGTCCTGCTAAATTAAATCAACCCCTGTAACTTCCCCTTGTAGAGTTAAACTGACTTTGCAGCAATGCAGACTTCAGTGCAAACAATTTAAAGAGGAAATCGAACTAATGAAATCTGCTTTTGATAAATGCAGTAAGAAAATTTGTTTAGAACTTAGTAAAGATTTAATCTCAATTTATTCAGCTACTGATCAAAAAAATATCTGACCTTTATGAAGTTGTTTTGGGAAAAGCAGCAAAAATATTTGAGCTGTTCCAATCTTTCATCTATTAGATACCACCCCACAATAATAAAGTTATTAGCTATTAGATACCACCCCACAATAATAATTATCTAAACCTTGCTCCGAAATCGCCATCTGCTTATACCGATTTGCGATAGATTCACAGACAGGTGTTTTAACTCTTCCAAGCTTAAGAACGTAAAGAGATTACAAAAATTACATCTGACCTACTAGCCTATCCATACCTACTAGGGGATTTAATCCAGTTGTTTTAAGGGAGCTTACTAAAAAAATACAAAATTTCCTTCCTCATAATAAATTTGTTTTAATAATTTTTGATAAAATGAATATCCAAGAAGATTTAGTTTGGGACAAATATACTGGAGAACTTATTGGTTTTGTTGATTTAGGTGATAAAGAAACAAATATTTCTACTTTAAAATATATTAAAGAATTAGCTACTCATATTCTTGTGTTTATTGTAAAGATAATTGTAAATCTTTTGTCATTTAGTTTAAAGAGCATTGTAAATCCTTTGTCATTTAGTTAAACTACCTTTGCAACTACTGGAGTTACACCATTTCAGCTGATGACTATTTTTTGGTGAAAACAGCTCATAACTACTTTGTGAAATCTGATTCTGGAAGAGGTACTCATGAAACAATGGTCTGCAACTACTTTGGATTTATATTTCTTAACTTTATTATAAGTACTTAAAATGTGGTTTAAGATTAGTTAATAAACTCACAAGTGATCACATTAATTCAACACCATATTCAGTAATGTGTGTTCATTTGGCTGCTCAAGTTTTAAGTGAAACAGTTAGCAAAGTTTTAAAAGAATTTGGTCCCCCAGAATGTGCTGGAACTGCTCAATTTTGTCTCATGATGGATAAATTTTTTGATTGTTTGAATGTTTCAAGTAAAAATGAAGCAATTAAAAATTTAAAAGAAAAACTAAAACAATATCTATCATATATAATCTCAATCATATCACATATAATCTCAAATCCAACCTTGTATGGAATACTGTTGCCATATCTGGGGCGGATCTTCTAATGATGCCCTTTCTCTTTTAGACAAGGTGCAAAAACGCATTGTAAACATAGTTGGACCTGCCCTTGCAGCCAACCTTCAACCTTTGTCACATCGTCGTAATGTTGCTTCTCTTTCTCTTTTCTACAAATACTACAATGGGCACTGCTCTAAAGAGCTAGCGTCTCTTGTGCCATCTACTAAAATTCATTCTTGTGTTACTTGTCATTCAATTAAGTTTCATCCTTTTTCTGTTACTGTTCCTAAGTGCTCCAAAAACTCTTATTCGTCTAGTTTTTTTCCTCGAACATCAGTTCTTTGGAATTCGCTTCCTTCATCTTGCTTTCCTGATTCATATAATTTGCAATCTTTTAAGTCGTCTGTCAATCGTTTTCTTGCTCTGCAATCTTCATCTTTTCTCTTCCAGTAACTTCCAACACTAATTAGTGGTTGCTTGCAGCCTTGTTAAAAGCGAAGATGTTTAAAAATATATATATATGAACATATGTAAATAATGTATGTTTTGAATGGCTTGACAGTTTCATTTTATATTAAAAAAAATGGAAAGAGTCTATTGACAATCGAAATGACAGAAATTATATTGCTAATGCTAACACTAATATGTTTATTTCTATGCAAAGTTATGAAGGTTTCCAGATAACTTTACATACATTCATTCAAAGAAGTTTGTAAGTTTTTCTTAAAACACAGTGCTCCTTATATTCTTTATGAATTATTTTGTTAAGACGATTTAAAAAAACTACTTTAGAAGACAGTGTGCTATTGGCAGCAGACATGATAATTCCGCTGTCAGAGATGCTGTGTATAATGACAACTCTATCATAGCTATTTTCATAGCTACATATAAAAACAATTGCATTATTAGCTAAGAATTAACTTTTTGTCTCAATTTTTTTATGTATTTATTTATTTTGTCAGAGCAGCATTCCAGTATAATATAAGCAAGCCTTGTTTTAAAAATTGCAATAGTACTCTTGGGTGCTTACCTCAGCTATAACCCTTATATTGATCCCTATTATTGTACCTGAGATTTTTACATTAAATTAGGTGATTTTTAATTTAGGTTGCTAAATCTCTAAAGTTATGGATTATATAGTAATTGTGAAACCTTAGGTGGAGTCAATAAAGTGTTTATGCAGGTCTTTAACAATATTTTTAAGATCAAGATGACTGTTTTTGTCCTCGCTAATTAGGTTGATTAGTTCGTGCTTCAAAGTTTTGTGCCATATTTTATTTTGTAAACTTTACAATACAAGATGCACAAAAAATTGGATACCAAACAATCTTCAAATAATACAGATTTTGTTTAATTTCCTTGTTATTGTCAAAAATTTCACCAGTAACAGCCACATACAGATCATCAAGCTTTATATAAATTTGATTGCTCATTTTTTAAAGTTGTGAACAAGTTGATTATCAAATTTAAAGTTGAAACTGCCTGTGCTTCCGGACTATCTATTTCTTATGACTATGGTTAAAACATGTAAACTTAGTGGTATAATGTAGATTTTCTACATTATTATCTTTCATTAAAGAGAGTATACTTCAATAATTAACATCAATTTCTATGGTCACACCCTTGCGACCGCATAAATTTTAGTACTGCGACAACACTTTTAAAACAACTTTGAATAAATTACAAAAACTATTTAAGTTAATTTCTTTTGAATACCTTTTACAAGAACCTACAATAAAATATAATTTAAATATTTATTAAATAATATATATTTATTAAATTATTTTAAATAAAATTCAATAGCTTAGGAATTATTAAAACTGTTAAAGGATTAATAACTTTATTAACTCAAGGTTTAGCTTTTTAATTCAGGATTTCGCCCAATTTTATGTGAACATTTATGAAACTGAATCTTGTGTAAACTTAAGTTTGTTGAAGAAAAGTCAACATAAACTCTTATTTTGAAACTAGAAGACAAGCTCAAAAACTTAGAAATTTATTTGATATTGGTTACCTTGGTTACCTTTATGTTGAGGATGTTAGGAGAAATAATTTAATTTATAATATCACTTCTGACTTTTTTTTTTAATTTTAAATATACACACACACGCAAAAATGTTTCAGTTAAAATTCATTTCCTTTGACAAGCCAGGTTTTGAAATCAATTTAACAAAAAAAAAAAAAATTTTTTTAAAATTAAAATTTGCAAACAAAATAAATAAAACATTATTCTTACCTTTATTATATAACTTAAGTCTGTTCTGTACGGAGGTAATGGCACCCAAAACAGATAGCCTATAAATAATCAATACTAAACAAAATATATCAAATTAATTAAAAGTAATTTATAAACAATTTAAAGAAAGGTGTAAAACAAATCTGTGGAAATTTCATATGAAACATTCATCATTTATTATATCTGAAAATTAAAATATTTTTTGTTTAAAACAAAAATAATGAAAACAACTCATATTTCAAGACAAATGTGCAACAGTCTGTAATCTTTTTAAGAACAAATTAGATTAAGAGATTAACAAAGGATTCATAAGATGGCCCTTGGGTAGAAATCTTTCGTCTTACTGCTGATAGATGTGCTTCCTACATTACTTCGTGGATTCAGGCTGGCATGGAAACTTTTATTCTTTTTCGACAATTCCAAGTCAAGCCCACTCTTCCCCAGGGTTTTCTTCACATTGTGCTGCTGCAGCTCCCAATTGAAACCATTACTTCCATATTTATCAGCAAAACAATTCTCTAGAAAACAGACATCTGTTTACTATTGCTAAAAACCATTGTAAAAAGGTTTTGTCTAATGCCAAAGCCTGCTATTCTCAGGCCATGAAATCTTGTATTTCATCTCAAAAATTAGGCTTTCATGACTTCTGGAGAATCTTTAACAGTATCAATAATAAAAGAAAATCTGTTATTCCAACTCTCTTGTATGGTCCAGACTTTGTCACCTCACCTAAAGACAAAGCTGAATTGTTTGCTAAGAACTTTTCATCAATATCGTCTCTTGATTCCAATAGTTGCGTTCTACCTGATATAGCTGACAAACAGGTTGATCCATTGCTTGAATTCGCTTTACTTCAGCTTCTATATCCAAAGTGATTTCCTGCTTAGACTTTTCTACAGCTTGTGGTCAGGAGAACATACCTAATATAGTCTTGCAGAAGTGTTTTCTGGAGTTGTCGTCTATACTTTCGAAACTATTTAACAAGTGCTTATCAGAGTCTTGCTTTCAGTCTGCTGGAAAGCATCATCTGTTACCACTATTTTCAAAAACTGAGAGCAATCTGACTCCCATTGAATTAAACTCAATTCATTTTCAGAAAAATTATTAGTTGACAGAACTTCAATATTAGATGAAGTATTATGTTTACTTCCTAAAAGAGCTTGAAGTATGTGATTAGAAACTTCAGTATGCGAAATATTAGTCAATAAAAGATCAACAAACTTTGATGGCAATAAATTTTCACGAAGAAGCCCATAAAATTGTGAATAAAATTTTTCTGCATCACCACTGTACTTTGAAATAAAAACCTGTAACTTTTGTAAAAAAAAAAAAAAAAATTGAATCTTCATAACTAAAACGAAAGCTCTGTTTTGAAAATTTAACTCAAATTTCTTTAAGCATACATAAATAATTTGACAACTTATAAGCAGACTCTTTAACAATATAACCTAAAGAAGACTAATGGGAAACCGCACCATTAGTCTTCCTTTTATCATAAGCAAGGTTTTTGAATCTTCAATTAAAAAACACTTAACCACTTATCTTGAATCTAATAACTCACTTCCTGATCATCAATATGATTTCAATCTTCTCGTTCTACAGCTGATTTGCTAACAGTAATAACTTATAGGTTTTATCATACATTATAAAGAGGTGGAGAGGTTAAGGCTATTGCTCTTGACATTTACAAAGCTTTTCTAAAGCTTTTGATAAAATTTGGCATGCTGGTCTACTCCATAAGTTTACTTCTTACGGTGTATCTGGTAACATCTTTAAGATTATTGAATCCTTCCTTTCCAATTGTAGTATAAAAGTTGTCCTTGATGGATTCTTCATATCCTGTAACTTCAGGGGTTCCTCAAGGTTCAATATTTGTCCCTATACTCTTTTTAATTTACATTAGCAATTTTCCAGATACTATCACATTTAAGGTGGCATTGTTTGCTGATGATACTACCATTTGTACTAGTCATGATAAGAACCCAACACTCTCTGATTGCTTGGAGGGGGCATTTGAGCCTGAAAAGGATCTTACTTCCGCTATGGCATGAGGCTCACAGTGGCTGGCTTGTGCCATCTACTAAAATTCATCCTTGTGTTACTCGTCATTCAATTAAGTTTCATCTTTTTATTGTGACTATTTTTAAGTGCTCCAAAAACTCTTATGGGTCATTCTGTGTCAAATTAACTAAAAAAAAAAATATTCGACACCATACCATCTCGGATTTTGCTGATTTTTGGAGTAAAAGCTTAAATTAATGAAAGAAAACTTTACTCCAAATTTTAGTATCAGACTTCTTACAGTTTCAGAGATATTGATATTCGGTCCCAATCTTTTTTTTGACTTTTTTTTTCAACGCCATTTATTATAGGCTCAATGCACAACACAATTAGCTTTAACTTATGAAATACTTGTTCAACAGCGATGAAAATTTCTACCTAACTACTTTTTAGGGTGAGGAACTCAAAAATTACAACTAAAATGATAAAGAATTCAAGCTTCTATATAAATATTCAAATTCAAAATGGTGTAACACTTTTTGTAAGATTTTTGATGCCTCGTACAAAAAAAGTTTTTGAGATGATCTTGAGATGCCTAAATGAATATGATTCTGGAATTTTTTTTAATGTTCTGTATGTAACAAGCTCCATAATACAAAAAATCTGGAAGGGTTTTCCTTTTTAAATCAATTTTATAATAAAAATAAATCAAAAAAATATTGAAATTACACTAAAACCATGGAAATAATTAAATTGCAACAAGAAAAATTAAAACTAAAAGATTATAAGAATTAACAATCTTCGACATTTCACTGATTTTGTATTGCCTTCCTGTAACAGTTGTTAGAATATTAATCATTAACAATAAGTTTGTTGATGGAACCCAGCAAACATCATCTCTAGAAGGCCAATAATATGACCTTGAAGGGTAACATGGATGAATGAAACTAACTTGAAAGTCTTTATTTTCAACATCAATTTTCTTAACTAGTCCGATCCATGGATTGTTATCATATATCAAACATACAAACACACCAACGCTAATATTAGACAAGAATTCTTTAATAATCTCATCAGTTTGAAAATTAAAAATAAATGAATACTCCAATTTTTCAGAAACAACTTTAGTTCCAATTTTTGTGTTACTTATTGTAACAAAATTGTGATAGCTACGAGCGCCTGGTAACGTTTTTGCAGTTGTATATTGTTTCTCCATTTCACTTCGAATGATCATGTTAGACTCCTTGGATATGTAATATAAATTAATTCCTATGATTTCATTTTGACAAACATTGCAGATGCTGTAAGAATATGATTTGCTGTTGTTCGATGAAGGCTAGCAATTGAAGTTAGTCTTTTTACAGTCCCACCAATACCATCACAGGGTGATTTACCATGACTTGTTGCAAAGAAAAGACCAGATACACTTCATAGCAAAGTCTTGTTCATGGTGGCAAATATTTACCAAGTGTTTGCAGTTCTTGTACTGGCCAGTACACCCGTCTGAAAAGTAATGGACACTTTCTATTTTATGAGAAATATTGCATTTAATATGTTCAATTGTTAGCTTCATCACATGATATACCATATCAACATCACACAGTAAATCATCTGAGATGAAACATTGAATCACATTTGAGGACATTATTTTCTTTATAATAAATTAATGTTGGATGCAATGTTGCTTGAATTTTGTTCCAGTGAAAACTTTGTATTTTGTCTTCCACAACAAACTCGTAATTTTCTGAGAAATCACAAAGGACAATGATCTCAGTACTACTTAACTCATTTTTTAACTTTCTTAAAGAAGCAGCTTGACTTTTTGCAATGAAAGAATGAACAGTAAGTTTTTGTAACTTATTTTTTAAAGTATTAATAAAGCTACTTGTCGTTTCTGTTAGACTTAATAGCTCAGATCGGTCTGTTGTTTTCCATTATTTGTAATCTATACAATAATCATCATCTTCATCAATATCGCCTTGAGAGTACAACTTAAGATAATGTACTAATGTAGAATCTTCTGGGCACAAAGGGCAACGATGTATCATACAAGTCTTGTTCGCCCTACTACAAACAAGCATATCTTGTAATAATCCTTTGATAATTCAACTGCACTAATCATTAACTTAACATTTCGATGGTAGGTGCACACACATACTGTATGCGTACCAGATGCTCCAACTGTAATGCACCATTTTGGACGATGTGAGCAAAAGTTAGAAAAACAGCTCTTTATATCTGGATAACAGGTTTTAAACTTTGTATATAGCTCTTTTAGATTTGAAAGAATCAAACACTTTTGCATGTGAGATCTTCGAGCTATACTAACAAAATCTTTTTTACCAGACATCAGCCTACTATTTTCATCATTACAAATAATTCAATAATTTTATCTACTGTTTCTTAAGGTATTTCCTTTTCTTTTTTTCTTCAGGAAAAGATAAAATACCATTTTTCTGCAGCAATTTGTGTAATATCTACACCATATAATTAGTAACATTACATTAGTAACATTTGGAACAAGTGTTAGTAGTTGAATTTTCTGATTACGAGTGGAAATTAAGATTTTTTCTTTGATTTTTCTAATAAGTATATCCTTGTCATTTGATTTACCTTTAACTTCCTTAGATAATTTATTGAAGAAATCTTCTTTACTTAACTGTTCAGGATCTATATTTAAAGTCCTTGCAATAACTAACTATACTGTTTTTTGAACATGTAAAACTTTTTTTTTGCCAAGAGCAACTCTTGAGTGACTATTTACAGCATGCATTTTGAGATGACTTATGGTCATAGTCGTCAAAGAAGAATTAAGATTTTTTTTAACAATTTATTTAATGAAATTCATTATCTTCATCTTCATAAATCTGGCTACAAGTCGGTTCTCTTTGCCCATCATCCTTAAATGATATCAATTCAATCATACATGAGAGACATATCTTTTCTCCAGGAATAACATAATTAATATTTTTTAATTTCCCAGCAAGTTGCATATTAATTTCTTTACATCCTCCTAAAAACATGAGTGATAATTACTGCTTCAGTGAGTATTTTGCAAAAATATATATAATTTATAAATATTTACAATAAAGTTTTAAAAAGTTTCATGGTTAAGTAATAATACATTTTCTTCTTTATTCCATTGTGTGAATTAAATGGATCACAGCAAGTTATGTGGATTGTGTAGTAACATTTTAAATAAACATACTCATGGTGTAGGCAAACCGTTGCATTTTCATCAAATTAAATGCCAGAACGACTAATTATCAAGTCTTTTTCCATATCATTAAGAGAAACTTTCTTGATATCATGGGATTTTACATGTCTTTGTTTGTTACAAATTTCTTTATTTATTATTCCAATTGAACATCTTTCTTTATCATTCATATTGTTATACTATTTTTTAGTTCTGTAAGAAACAATTTTAAAATAATTGTTTGAAGATTTGAAAATAGAAAATCCTTCAGCTATTAAACATAATGATTGCATAAAATAAAGATCTTTTATGTGAAATGCAAACAAGTTTATATATTAGAACTGTACCTTAGACAGCAAGATTCTAAAAATCTTTTTAAAAAATGCAAAATATTTATGCAAATTATTTTTTTTCATTATTAAATAACAGTTTTTCTTAATTTTTTAAATAAAACTTTTAATGCAAATAAATATAATTTAAAAAAGAAAACCCTTCCAGATTATTTGTATTATGGAGTTTGATACATATAAAACATTAAGGAAAAAATTTCAGAATTTTATCTTTTAGGCATCTTGAGATAAACATTTTTTTGTACAGGGCATCAAAAAACTTACAAAAAGTGTTACACCATTTTGAAATTGAATTTTTATATAGAAGTTTGAATTTTTGTGTGTTTTAACCATCATTTCTAATTCCCTCACCCTAAAAAATAGTTAGGTAGAAATTTTGACCACTATTAAACAAGTATTTCATAAGTTAAAGCTAATTGTGTCGTGCAATAAGCCTAAAAAATAAATAGCGCTAAAAAAAAGTCAAAAAGAGATTAGGACCAAGTATCAATATCTCTGAAACTGTAAGGAGTCAGACACTAAAATTTGGAGTGAAGTTTTCTTTTATTAATTCAAGCTTGTATTCTAAAAATCAGCAAAATCTGAGATGGCATGGTGCCGAGCATAAATTGAATTGAGCTGGAATGACCCTTATTCGTCTAGTTTTTTTTTTGCTTTATCTTGCTTTCCTGATTCATATAATTGGCAATCTTTCAAGTTATCTGTCAATCAGTATTTTGCTTTATAAATATCTTTTCTCTTCCATTAACTTCCAACTCTAATAGTGGTTGCTTCCAGCCTTGTTGGAAGCGAAGATGGTAAAAATAAAAAATAAAAAAAACTTAAAAAAATCTGTTTTACCTGTTAACTCTGCTTTTTATATTTGAGGCTGTTCCGAATTCATCGGCCAACATTTTTGAAACTCGTGAAATTTGATCTTTAGGTGGAATAATTAGTGAAATCATACTTGTACCATTTCTAATATTAAATAACTTGAAATATTAATATAATAAATAATATTAAATAACTTGAAAGTTTTAATTGAACAACTTTTACAATTAAATTATATTTATATTGTAAATTTATAAAATAGTAATATTAATAATAAAAATTGATAATTATTAAAATATTAAATTATGTATTAAAAATTTTCAAGAATTTCATTATTTTAAATGTTTTAAGTCTATAATATAATTTAAAAAAATCTTAATTAAAATTTTGATAATCATTTAAAATTTCGAAAACTTAATGTTAGCAATATGACTGATGTTTGCAGTGTATAGTGACAAGCAAATCAATAGGTTTATATTTATAAAAATTTGGAAACAGTATAATAGTAAAAAATATTAAATAACTTATAACAAAAAAGAGAAAGTTAAAATGCAGATGATGATATTAATTAGTATTATTAATACTAATAGCAATATTAATAATAATATTATTATTATAAATTAATAATAATCATAATAATGACAATAATAAAGAAATCTTAACCAGAGGGTGTATTGTGCCTATTGCAATTAGAAAATCAAACTATTATTTTTTGTGTTATAAGTTACACATAAATTATAAATCTTTTGCACTCCTAAATAAATGAACTATTGGTTCATTTAATAAGGAGTTTATTTTGTAAAACATTTTTCATTATAATGAAAAATGTTTTACAAAGGTTTAGTGTTTATGATGTTTTTTAAACTTTTAAATAGTATTAATCAGATTAAGTTGGACAAGTTTTAATTTGAAGCTGCATTATAGATCGGAAAAATTTTCTTAGCCTTGTCAGTTCTTTTTGATTGAGTTTGTCAGTTAGTCAGTTCTTTGTGATTGCTGAGTTTTTCAATTCTTTGTGATTTCTGAGTTTTTGTCTCTAAGCTTTTACTTCCATTACTTCAAGTCAATATTCACATCTTAAGCTACTTTAAAGTGGAAAAAATGCAGAGTTTTTAGTTTATGACTAAAGCACTCATTTAAAACTTTTAAAAAAACTTTATTTTTTAAATATTGTCATTAGTTTAGATTTTTCAGTGTGATGGTTAGGGAAAAGATTACTACATCTGTCCAACAACATGTGAAGTAGTGAAATAACATCCGCACATTTTTGTTTAAGATCATCCGGATTTTTTCTTTACTGAATTAACATCTGTCCAAAAACATCCAAAATTTCATTGATGTCTAATAACATCTTTAGGAAGATGTAACTATATCCGGGAGTTTTTCTCGATGTGTAACTACATCCGCCTAAAATTATGCATTATTAACTAAAATAAATTTTCGGACGTAGTTACATCAAAAAAAAAAAGGATGTGTAACTACATCTGGGTAAAATAATGCATTATTAAAAAAAAAAATCCGGATGTAGTTACATTTATGAGTTACATATATAATTATTATATTATATAAGTGCTGCTATATCGACGGACAAATAGCCTGACTTGAAACGGAGTGCTGCTACATCGACTGATGGTTAGGTTTGGGCAGGCAGTCTATCAAATATTAAAAAAAAAAAAAATATTATGCTTAAAATAATGCATTACAATAATTTTTTTTGGCGGATGTAGCTACATCCGACAAAATCAGATGTGTAATTACATCTGGTTAAAATAATGCATTGCTAAAAAAAATTTTTTTTTTGAACTATTTCAACTTTTATTTTAATTCATAAGGTTTTTGTATCCTAAAAAAGTAGAAAATGGACTCAATAATATTCTGATTCTGATCTTTTTAATTGTGAAGTAATTTGGTTAGATTAAAAAAAAAAAAAAAAAATGCCTAAACGTTTGAAAACAATATGTATACTATTCCAGGCAATACCTGTTTTATTTTTGTCACACTAATATACTTTCAATTAAAAAATTATATTTTTATTGTTATGATGGAACTGTTGGAAACAGATGGTCTGATGTTGTATGTTCTATGCTGCATGATTTTGAGTTATCAATTGTCTCAAGTGTAAAGGATATCAAATTGATTTGCAATTTATGTGTTAGGCTAAATACAAAATGAAAAGTTTTAATTTGACTTTATTATCTAGTTTATAAAACCGAAAAACTTGACAGCATTACAGTTTCATTACCAATTAGAACTCTGTCACATTATGTATAGGCATTACACCTCTAAAAAATGTGACAGAAACATTAGCCATTGCAAATCAAAAGTTTCTTGTAGAAACATTAGACGATTATACAAAAAACCATAACAATTCAATATTGTATATAAACACGGTACAAGAAAAATTTCTGAAATTTGTAGAGTTTTAAAACCAAACTTCTTGGTTGTTGGTACATTTAAGACATGTTTACTAGAGAAATTGTAATATTAAAGGTTATGAAATATTTTTTTATATTGAAGGTTATGAAATAAGTTTTTATATTATATAAGGACTTGTAATATTAAAGGTTATGAAATAAGTTTTTATATTGTATAAGGACTAAAATATCAGAAAAATATACTTTTAATCAAATAAATTATTAATAAACAGATACCTAATGTCACTAAACACTAAATTTCATTTTTCTCAAAATGAGAAAAATGTGACATCTGTGGTTTTACCCGTGTGGTCTACATATAGATACAACTCAATTACTTAACTTCAAACAATTTATGTTTTCCATTCTACCTTTCTCATAGAAGATGTGATATAAAAGCCTTTTTCAGATACACCACATAAAGCTATTTAATAGAGAAGACCAGCATGCCAGATTATTAAAAGCCTTTGATATGTCAATAGCAAAAAACATTTTCACAGCAATTGTGAACAAAGTTTTTGATAAAAAAAACAAACTGATTATTAAATATTTTTTTTTAATTAAAATTACCGAACCGAGTTAAAGTAAAGAAAATCATAATTAAACATTTTATCATATTTAATTCAAAGTTATTTTTTATGCTCATTTTTAGGGTTTCTAATCGGTTTTAACTGATAACCAAAAACTACCATTTTTGGTCAAAACCGATATATATGAATTGGTTTTCAAAAACGGTTTTGGCTGTTTTTTGTATAATGTCTTTTGAATGTTTATTTATTAAAGAAAGGTATAAAAAAAATCAAATTTGTAAGTAATTAAGTTTTAATGTTATTATTTAGATAGTATTTTACTGGAAAGCTTAACATGTCTTCATTTTCAAAAATGAACCTTAAAAAAATTGTAGCTGATCTAGCTAGCTACAGAGGGTGTTAGGATTAATACGATAACTAACAACAAATTTATTTGCTAATTGATTCAACAAAGAAGAAAATCATTTTCCTATAAGTCAAACAACTGTGATGAATTTAATCCATTAAGTTTTTTTGACAAAAAGGAAGCGATGAAATGAGAGATTATTAAAAAAATACAAATGGGACATAAATTCAGCTTAACCCACAATGAATACACATCTTTTAGGCACAGAAGGTACATTAGTGTCAACTTGCATGAAAGCAAATGTAAAAAAACCTATAAAATAACCTCATTAAGATTTATGGTTTCTGTTCAGCTGAAAAATTAATCCAAAATATTAAGGATCATTTGGTGTCTGTATGGAAAGAGATGTAGAAGGCTAGAAGACTTCTACTCAAGATGGTACATCAATCAAAAAGAGGCTCATGCAGTTAATGGACATTGTTGACCAGTTTTGCTTTAATCGTGCAATTCATGTGACACATACAAGAAAAATAAAGACACAAACGTACCAGTTCCCAAGGAAACGAACAGTGATTTAGAAGAGGATAAACATGGAATTTACAATGATAATTTTAGTTTTGAATCAGTAAACAATTAGATTAATGTTGACTTTCCTGAAATTTTCACAAAAAGTATTGAAATTCATAAAAATGTCATTAGTTCATAATCAAATTTTTTATAAAAAAGTTACTGAGAAATTTAATAAAGAAATCAAACTGCATCTAGATGTTCGTCATCATTGGAATTCACTTTTTTAATGACTGCGCCTTGAAAACTAAGAAATGTTTATTCCAGACATTTACTGAATTAAATGCTTTTGATGTAATCAACAAGCTAGATTTTGAGTCATTAGTTTCATTACATACCGCTTTATGAGCCAGCAAAACTAGGAGTGGAACTCCTTAGCAGAGAAGTTGCAATGTTATCAACAGCAGATACTGTTCTTGAATTTATACTTGCAAAACTATTAGCTCCGAATACAGAAATCGCATCTTTATTGCATTCAAATTTAAAATAGCATGCAAATCAGAGAATTAACGGAAATATTATGCAGCTGTTAAGCTGCCTAAAAAATCCTTCAGTTATTACATTAAAAAAATGCTTTAAATTTTACTGGAAAACTTGCATTTAGGCTTTATGGATATACTTTTAATGGTGAGGAACCACTATTAGCTGAAGCAAGATGTATAACATCGGAAAGTTCACTTGTTTCTCTTAAGGATGAATTAAATGCAAATAAATGAAATTTTTTTCATTCCTTTGTGAAAGTGATGTCACTGTTTAACACATTACTTTATATTTATAAAAGAACTGTTTAAAAGATTGTTTTTAAAAAAAAGAATGTTTTTAAAAATATTGTTTTTATAACCATTTGCTTGAAGGCAATTGTATTTTAGATAATTTAGTTAAAAACCTTTATTTATAAGAAGTTTATGATTTTTTACTTTTACAGTTGCTTTTTAGCGCTTTTCCATTATCATTAATTTTTTAAGTTTTTCCATTATCATTCATTTTTTAAAACAGATTGGAAGGGAACAATTATATTTAAAAAAAAAACATAAAGCAATATTTAACAACTGTTTTTACTTATTAATATAAACAATTTTCTTACTTATATTAGGAATTTTTTCTATGCAATTCAATTCTTTTATTGATGATTGTTCAGTAGTGAGATATTCTTACATTGGTCACAACTAACAAGTAACTTTTTCAATAACTACGGGATAAGAAATTCTGACAATTTGTTTTTATTTTATAGATTTTAAACTGATGATATTTCACTTAGAGTCATTTTATTAGTTTTTATTAGGGAGTTAA